TTCCCATTCTCATCCTCATTCGCCAAATCCTTCTCACTAATTCTTCACCCTCTCTGTTTTTAGTGGCTTTTACAGAAATGTAGTGAAATGAAAAGCTATTCTGAGACACTAACAACTCAAAGATGCAAAGGAAAGGAGACATTTGGGGAATTCTCCTATTTAACAAAACACCGCTTGTTCTCTAAGAACGTTGTTCTACTTTGGTTGTGAGAAAGCTACTTAAGGTTAAACGAGTGAAAATAAAAGCATCCTTAAAGGGAAAACATCAACTGGGAAGGCTCTGCTATTGTGCCGGTCTGGTTCTGGAGCGAAAGGTGAACCAGGAACTTGTCTCCGCAGGGCTGTTATTTGTTGCTCAGAGGGACAAGTCAGTGAACTCTTGGGACACAGCCAGAGAGGTCTGGGAAAAAAAGCAAGTGCTGGGACTTGTGAATAGCCATTTGTATCTTACTGGGAATAGCCGACCCAAACTACACAGGTAACAGGGGCACGCTGCCAGGGAGAGGGTCTGCACCAGGCAGAGGCAAGGCCCCGCTGGACAGGCTTTCAAAGGGGAGATTTGTGAGCACCTTTCAAGACAGGAAAACAAAGAAAGTCACATGTGGTGGCCTCTGTGACACAGCCACAGGAAGAGGTTGCTTGAATTGCAAAGAGCGGAGCTCCAGTCACAAAGGACACGGCTCTGCACAGTGTTCAAAGGCTCGACCCTGTACCTGAGCTTTCCCTTCCAAACGGCCGGCCCTGAGGGTTAACCGTTCAAGTCGCTGCTTATGGTCAAAGAAGAAATACGCAAGGCCGGGGCTGAACACGACTTCACAGTTATCTACCTAATTGGCCATGGGCTCTAGGAGGAAAAGCCATGTGCTATCTTTTGTTTGCTTTTTAAAAATTCATTTAGCATACACAGATAAGAAACCTGTCTTTTGAATAACTAAATGAATGGCTCAGTCTTTGGAATTCAAAAGTCAAGGCTATACACATCTGTTCCTAGCAGGGCAGAGCCAAAAATTAGTACATAAGGTTTCCCAACTCCCCGCTCAGGGATCTTGGATACCACTGGGCTTTTCCTCTACATAGAAGCAAAGCCATGAAGTTATATACGGTGGTGGTAGCACAATCCTGAGAATATCCTGGAAATCAGAGCTGTTCACTTTAGACAGCTGGGTTATATGGCATGTGAAGTGTACCTCCATACAGCTGTTCTTAAAAAAGTACCACATTACTAGAAACAAAAGAGAAGATACATTATAATTAATACATTAGAATAAATTAAAATCTTCTCAATAGAAAGCAAAAATACCATTGTTTATCCACGTGATTGCTTTTAGAAATTTGAGCAGAACTATCTACACACTATATATA